AAGATTTACTTTAGTCTTCTTTTATATCTTTCAATACAGTTTATCATCTTTTCCGACCCCTCCCCTTGGTTAAACACTGAATGATGTTTCATAACACATTTTTGTTAGAGGTATCTTTTATAGCTTATAAGGTTTTTTTTTCTTTTCTTCTCTTTTTCTCTCTCTCACAATTGCAAGTGCTATCATTTAAAATTATTTTCTGCTGGAGAGCAAAAACACTGTTTGCTTTTGAATATTACTTTTGCATCCATAACCTTTCCACACCCTGTTATTCAAATTAATAAATTTTCTGTAGATTCTCTTGGATTCTGTAGAGATTGACATTATCTGTGAACCATAGCAGTTTTATTCTTTCCAACTTGTTTACGTTTATTTCCTTTACTATGTTTTTTATGATTTTATAACTTTTAACAATACTGCTTTAATACTCCCGAATATTGTTCATCTGTTCTCTGGAATTCTTGGCTCCAATTTTGCCTTTTTGTGCGTCCTCTGCCTGTCACGCAGGGCGGCCTGCTGCCCGGGCTCTGGGGCTCCTGGCCGTGCGTGCACTGGGAGGCCGCTTCCTTTCTGTATGCTTTCCCCGGGGCTCAGTTTCAGGTAGTCCCTTCAGCAGAGTTCTGGGTTTGTGACTTAGGCATGTTCCTGGCAGCAGACCAGCAACCTTCACCCTGAGCCATCCTTGTCATTATGAATTCACACCCAGAGTCACGGAAGGCACAGGCCTGGCATTTTCAATTATCAGAGAAGACGTAAAATCCATGTATTTTTAACCTGAGCCCCGGATGAGTTCGACGTCTCCTGTCATCTTCTCAGCTGGTCTGGGCTTTTGTCCAGGCTTTGCGCTCCCTGCTCAGGCCTCCCCCAGCAACCTCAGGTCCAGCTCCTCACCTCACAGCCATCCCATCCTCCTTCCCTGTATCTCCAGCATGTTAAAATCAAGCTTGCACAACAAAAAGACCACCAGCCCAATGAAAAAATGAGCGATGGGCTTGAGTAGACATTTCTCCAAAAGAGAACTACAAATGGCAGAGAAGCACAGGAAAGGCTGCAGTGTGACCCCCTCCGAGATGTGTATCCAAGACTGTTGAAAACAGGTACTGAAACAAAAACATGCACACACTTGTTTACAGCAGCACAATTCACAGTTGCCAAAAGATGGAGACAGCCCGCATGTCCATCAATGGATAGAGGCACAAACTGTGGTGTAAACAAACAATGGCATGTTTTGTAGCCACTAAAGGGAAGGAAGTGTTGACACACGCTGCAACATGGATGAACCTCGAGCACATCATGCAGAGCAAAAGAAGCCAGACCAAGAAGATGCCACACTGCGGTTCCGTCTATGCCAAATGCCCGGAGCAGGTGAACCCACGGAGACGGCATAGTTTGCTGGTTTCCAGGGGCTGGGAGGGCAGAGTGGGGAGCAACTGCTTCATGGGCCTGGAAGAGACAGATGTTGGGAATTGCCTGGTGACACGTCATCGTGAATGCACTAAATGCCACCTAATTGTTCATGTTAAAATGGTTAATTTTGTTATGTGACATTCACCTCAACATATAAAAAACTAAAACACAAAAACAAGAAACCTAACCTGGAAGATTACAGAAACTGAAAATGCCCCCAGGACGGCCTCAGAGTCAGTGCGGGGACTCAATTCTCTCTCTTCCAGTCCTCCTCATTTCTGAAGCCTATGGGTTAATCCTTCTTTCTTACCACTCAGCTTTTCATTGAACCACCTTTTTTTGTTTTGTTTTATTCACCATTTCTAGTGGATGTAGCGAGATCGTTCTCAGTCATTTCTGCCTGGCGTCTTGCTGGAAGTAGAAGTCCTCTAAGCTGTACTTTCTCCATGTGTTTTTTTGCATGGACCTGGCCCCCAGAGCCGGATGGTAGAGGAAAGAGTGGTGAGCGCCCCAGCCTTTGTTCCACCACTGCTGTGGCTGGGGAGAGGCACACGCACTCAGTGGCTTTCACGACCACCCTTCCCAGTGGTCAGATACAGCCAGCAATGCCCACCATCACTTCCAGCTCTGGCCCTCCACGCATGTCTGTCTTCCTAACTGTCCACAGTGGTTCCTCCATCCTGAGGACATTATCATTTGTGTTCAGTAGTCCTCTCTGTGCGCCTTTGCCCGTGCTCCGTCTCTGCCCGGTTGCCGTTCCGAGCTCCTGCCTTGGAATCCCAGAGCTCAGACATGTGGGTGGACAGCATCGTCATGTGTCTGTGTGTGTATCCACTGTGCTTTATCTAGAGAAGATCCCCAAGCTGCAGCCCGGAAGCCAGCAAGCGTCTAGGACAGAGAGTTTCTTGGCTGATGCTGCAACCTCAGGTAGCTGACACTTCAGAGTGGCCAGAAATCCAAATAAAGCTGGCAGGTGTGGGGAGAGCTGAGCACCACAGAGGGAGAGTCTGGGGTCATGGAAACCAAATTCAGCCTTCCTACAACGTGGACCCTGTGTAAATTAGCATTTTTATTCTTCCAGGAGCACATCAGTAAGATTTAAGAACACCAAGGCCTATTATTTTGTTAAAACAAAATTTAACAAGTTTCCAGGATTTCATTGGCTGCGCAAGCCTAGGAGTGTTCTCACTTGCTGTGTCCTCTGCTGCCATCTAGTGGTAGATGTGCAGATTTGCGAGGGAAACTTTGGGGCACTTAAGAGACGCCCCGAAAACCAAAGGTGGAGCTCCTGAGGGCTGTGCATGGTGCGAAGGGGTGGGTGTGGGGGTTCAGTGAGGGTGTATTTTTTGCAGGAAGGGCCCAGGGTGTTTATCAAAGCCATCAAAGACATTTAAGAATCAAGACTGCCCCCCAAAGTCTAGGTAAAACCATTTTAAATTAACCATTTTGGTAACTCCCATGTGATTTCAAAAGGGTAACATCATAAAACTGGTTGTGTACCCTAATTATGTATAAGAAAAGGAACTCCGATGATGCTGAGTGCAGGTACAGGCTGGGCAGGTCACATCATCCTGTGTAAAAATATCCCCAGTGCCACCTGCCGTTTCTCCTCTGCCCTCCCAACCCTAAAAGCTGGAAAACGGGGCTCATCCAAAATAAAGGACAGCTCAGAGCTATTCAAGCACCTGGGGATCCGACTCCTCAGAGTTCACAGACAAGAAGCCCACATGCCAGCGTTCTCGAAGAAGAGCGAGATGTTTTGGCGTCCTTTATGCTGCTGTAATCTGGGAACTCCTTCATTTCCCCTACATCGTCGTCATGCTGATGTTCACTGATGGCTACTGTCTGCTGGGAGCCCAATATGGGCCAGTGCATTTCTTTCTCCCACCACCCCTGTGTAAGGGACTGTCTTTCCTCAATTGTACAAACAGGGAAATTGGGACTGAGGGGTCCAATGGCTTGCCTAAGTTCTGGTGCCAGGAAATAAACCCTGGCTGGCTGCTTGGGAGGCTGAGCTCCCCACCATGGGCCACAGCATCTTGGGAGAGCTTAGTTGCATGGTGCTGGGATGGGTGCAGCAGGAGCAGTGACAGTCACAGCATTCTCAAGGACCCAGAATAACCAATGCCGGGACGCTTGCTGGGTAAAAACAGCTGCACCACTCCAGCCACATAGCCACTTGAAAGTGTCCAATTTTCTAGAATCCCATGCACTAATTTCACTGAGAAATTGCTAGCCGATATCGATTCTATCAACTGCCTGACCATGACTGTCTAAATGTGTCTTTTGAGGAATGTGCACAATCTTCAAGCTATTCTGTTGTCTGGTAAGCAGGGGCACTGTGAGCATGCTGAACACCTTTTGTGTTATAAAGTTTGGTTGTCAGCTTTACTTACAGTCCAATCATAAAAGACCCATGAGGATCAAATGAAGCTTGGTCATCCCGACTACGACCTCAAGTGCCATGAAAGCGATGATGCCTGCCTTTCATATTTCTCCCACAACACCGGGTCCTTTCTAGATTTTAAAAAAAGATTCAATCCATATTGTTTTCCAAAATGATTGGCGAGCATTTGTTTAGAAATTTCTGATAGTTTATTTCAAATCAACGAAACACACAAAAATATTTGGCTGACCATGTCTATTGTTTTTCTGCAAGCATGCTTGGCTATTTGACAAATGTCCTCTTTACAGAATACCCCTGGAGGACAATCATTTGCACAAAGTGTTTTATGTCATCTCAATGGTAGTTTTTTTTTTTCTTCCTGATGGAGCTAGCCATGATGATAATAAAGTCATGCTAAATGTATTTTGACGATAATGTGGTCACAGGTATGTAAATGGATGGACAGACAGGAGGAAGGGGACAAAAGTGGATTGCAGCCAGGTGCGGTGGCTCATGCCTGTAATCCCAGAATTTCGGGAGGCCAAAGCGGGGGGATCACCCGAGGTCAGGAGTTCCAGACCAGCCTAGCCAATGGTGAAACCCTGTCTCCACTAAAAACACAAAAATTAGCTGGGCATGGTGGTGGGCACCTGTAATCCCAGCTACTCGGGAGCTGAGGCAGGAGAATCACTGGAACCAGGGGGGCGGAGGTTGCAGTGAGCCAGGACTGCGCTACTGTACGCCACCCTGGGTGACAGAGGGAGACTCTGCCTCAAAAAAAAAAAAAAAAAAAGAAAAGAAAAGTGGATTACTTTAGGAGTCAGGATTTCCTGTGGGTGCTCTGACTCCCCTGTGATGGAAAGCCCCTCATTAGGGAGCACGGTGCTTTCCCATGGCCGCTTTCCCCCCTCTCCTTACTCCCTTCCCTGCCTCTTTCTCCACCCCGCACAGCCACAGGTGCTCCAAAGGAGGAGACGGGATCTGTAAGGGGAGTCCTCTCCTCTCATATCCTAGATTGGAAAGGAATAGGAGAGGAGCCGGGATTTCCTTTTGGAGCTGGAAGCTGCCCCTCTTCTCTGCCCACCCAGGGTTGGCCCAGGAGTGGAGCCTGCACAGCAGGCTGACCATGGTGTAGAGAGGATAGGTGTGCGGGCCAGTTTGGAGAAATAGAAGGGGTGGAGGTGGGAGGGATAACGTGGCTGCAGAGTGGCTGGAGAATCCTCGTTTAATGTCCAAGTCATTCCAGATTCCCCTGTTTAATTCAGGGGAATTAACATTCTTAATGTTGTTCGCAAAGTAGAGAGTCCAGGAAGTGAGAAGGGAAAGGCATTGATTCTAAACATGACAATATGGAACATTTAGTAATGTGTCTTTTTATGGGGGACCCCAAGCACCGCATACCCCAGATGCACAGTCTCAGGGGTGTCCTGACGGCCAGGCTTGGTAGCGCCATCTGTGGGGCACTTCCTTTGAAGAGCTGGTTGCCCTGAGGGTTGGTTATGGAGTGGAATGAGGTGATGGGTGAAGCCACAACGTTGTGGCACATTTGGGATTTTCATGCAAAGGTATTTTTCTGTAAGAAGCGTCATTTATGTTCCATCGGGTCTCACCATCTTTTTCAAGTTATAGAAACAGAATCAAACCTTCTTAAGTAAAAATTGGCAGTTTGTTGGCTCACACCATTGAAAAGAGATGGTTTCTGGTGGGTCTGAATCCCAGGGTCCAAAGCTGTCAGCAGGACACTGAATTTCTCTTCCTCCTTGCTAGACTCCATTCTCAGGCAGGCACATTTCCAAGGCAGAGCAAGCACAAACCCCAGACTTAGGTCATCTGCCAGGCTGGCCATCCCAGGACAAGGGGGCTGTCAGCTCTGCGGGAGCCCTGCTAGGACCTTTCTCCCGGTGGTGGGTGGATGGGGTGGGGCAGGGCCATTCCCACCTGGACTCCATGGAACTAGGGTCCCATAGAAAGAAAGGGAGTGCTCGCCTGGAGGGGAGAAGGGCTGCTGGGTAGAAACCCCACATAGGCTCACTTGTACGCACCCAGTACGATACAAACAGGTGCATAAATGGCAAAAACAAGTGGTAAAGTCAGCATTAGAAACTGCATTCCTGCCAGTTATTAATTACTGTCCAGTTAGGGACATAAAACAAGAATAAACACATAGAGCTATGATTCTCAGCTCAATAAACCTGCTGCTTATCAGCTGTGTTGGAGGCCCGAGGCGGTGTAGGCTCAGGTCAATAAACCTGCTGCTCATCAGCTGTGTTGGAGGCCCGAGGCAGTGTAGGCTCAGCTCAATAAACCTGCCGCTCGCTCATCAGCTGTGTTGGAGGCCAGAGGCGGTGTAGGCTCAGCTCAATAAACCGGCCGCTCATCAGCTGTGTTGGAGGCCCGAGGCAGTGTAGGCTCAGCTCAATAAACCAGCCGCTCATCAGCTGTGTTGGAGGCCCGAGGCGGTGTAGGCTCAGCTCAATAAACCGGCCGCTCATCAGCTGTGTTGGAGGCCGGAGGCGGTGTAGGCTCAGCTCAATAAACCGGCCACTCATCGGCTGTGTTGGAGGACAGACGCGGTGTAGGCTGAGGTGAGAATGGGCACCCGCAGCGCAGGGGTTTCTCTCACAGCGGTCCCGCTGGACCCCTTTCCTCATGGCACACTCGGGAGGAGCCAGCCCCAAAGCCGTGCTGACTCATGACAACCGAGGGCCATGTGAGGCAGCAGAGGCCGCTGGCATCTCCTGTTAGCCTTTTCATTTCATTTAGGTGGTGATTCCCACCCTCTGTCTTCTGACACTTGAACGGCAGTCATCAGTAGGGGCAAAGGAGATTTTATTTGAATTTTGGCTTCTTCCTTCATCTCTTATATTTCAGTGGGTATCAGCCAAGGAACAGAGAACAGAAGAGAAATGTGGCAGGAAAAGGCTAAGGGAGAAAGTAGAAAATGGAAATGTGGCCCCTGCAGTATGGAACGTGCAGGAGTAAGGGTAGCCGTTGTCTGTGCTCTCAACGGTCCTAAAACCACATTGCTGAGTAAAATCTTCAGGTCACCTCCAAACCATGCTGGCCAAAAAGAGGCCTGGGAAGAAGAAAGGCCCCCTAGACACATGCGCTTCCGGGTTTAAGCCTTGGGACCAAGGATGATTGGAATTTTAACTAGTTGTATGCGAGCGTATTTACGGATGAAGATGAAATCTACAGATTAAAAGAGCTGGAATGAGTTTCTTCCGTAGACTAAAGTTTAGAGTCACCTGAAAGCATTTGCCTGCTCACCACTGATGTGCAGCTCGGAAGATAAATGCTGTACATTGGGAGCTTGCAAGAGTGACTTTCTTTCCGTTGAGGTTTGAGGTTGGTGATGGGAACACCATCACTTCCTTTGGCTAAATTTTAAAAGTTGTGCAAAAGTCGCAAGTTCCTTTCTTCTGTAGGCTTTCACTAAAGGGCTTCCTGAACGCGAAAGAAACTCCTCCAGTTATTTAAAATGATGTGGAGATTAATGTTTAGAAACAAAAAGCTCACAGGCCTGGTGAGTATGGTAGTAATGCCCTTGCTAATGAAGTTGCTGACTGTAAATATGTCCTGTGACTTAAAGGAGTTCTTTCTTCGTTTCCGTTTTCACAGGGCAAAAGTGACTCAGCTGCCTCCAAGACAAAGGTAGCTGGATCCGCAGAGGTAAGAAGCATTCCTGTGGTTCGTTTTTTTCCATGTTCACGTGAGTTACATTTTTTTTTTTAAGTTAAACACGAAGTCTTGTTCAGTTTATTGAGTTGTTTCACGGTGCCCAGAGTCCAGCAAGGGCAAGCTGTGAAGAGCTTTTAGAAGGCTGGACCACTCCACAGGAAAATGTGAATTTTTTGGCATCCTGTGGGGAATCCGAGTGCTTTGTGCAGTAATGTCCTTGTACAGCAGGGGCTGCGTAGCATGCTAAACTGGGGATGTCATCTTGCCATGTATTATGATTTGAGTTTGATTCTGAATCTGTGCATCACTTTTTGTCCAGTATTCCTTTTAAAACTACAATGTGCCTTCAAAATAAGCTGGAATTACCAGAGGCAGAGGCGAGCCATGACAGCGAGGCAAAGGTGGGGTGCTGACGCTGCCCGGGGCCGTGTCTGCCCTCGGGGTTTGCAGGTTGGTTGCTGACTCGTGTGTGTGGCTCAGCAACAGTTTTTCTAGGAATTAGGACTAAAATAGGTAATTTTAGATGGAGGTAGATTTCTCCTATTTCAAGCATCTATCTGGTTTTAATACCTTTATTAACAAAACATTTTTAAAGATAGTTTAATGGCTGTTTTCAATCCCTTTGGGCTGCATCACGCAGGTGAAATGTAGTAAGTCAGTAATCACGCCACGTGCGGCTGTGATGCCATGGGATTGGTCAGCCTTGGGGCCGCGCCTCTGCAGTGGTCGCTGCACGCTAAATGGGCCTGCTCCCTGTAGGTGCCAAACGGGTCACTGGAAGTTGGTTGAGCTTATTCTCATCTACGTTGATGCCTTAAACTGTGCTGTAGTTCATGTGAAACAAAAATACTCCTGATTTTCTGGCAGCTTTCCTGAAGCTAAAAAGCAAAAATATAATAATAAGGTTAAAAAGGTCTTCTGAGGACAGCATGAGCTCTGCCACAGGGATCTTGCTGGGCAGCGGGTGGCCCTCGGAGCTGCCCAGGGAGGGCACTGCACAAGGGTGTGGCTGCCTTTTCTCAGCGCTGTTGCCAGGGCCTGCAAGTCCCTGACGGGAGAGGCCGAGTCCCACCTGGTTTTAGGTGGTCCCAAATCCTGGATGAGAGGTCCCTGCTGCATTCCATTGCCAGCAATGCTTGACACTTGAATTCCACTGTTTTACTTTTTCCATACTTGTACTACTATCTGGGTCTGAACGCATTTTGCATAAATTGAGTTTCCTTATTGGACGTGGAACTTGTGTTTTGTGCGGTTGATGGTGACTGTGCAAAGGTGATGAGTGGGCACACAGAATCTCAAGCTGGTTCTGACGATTTCAGCTAAGGGGTTAGGCAAATGGCTGACTCCCCAGTTTGGATTACATCCTAACGTACATCAACTCGGCAAACGAGGCCTGCTGGCGTGGGAGGAACACAGTCTTCTCTTCCTTTCTCATAATCTCTTGTCAGTCTGGTCCATAATCTATTCAAGAAAAAAAGAGTCAAGCTGTAATTGGTGATTCTTAGCGAAACTTGATGTGGCTTTATCCAAATGTGTGACGAACTGTGTTTCTTGGCAAATGAAAACGTTTTATTATTATCTATATCATCCCAATCCACACCTAGCCTGAGCACTCTACAGAAAGATGACACGTTCCAGTACTGGGTGTTTCTCCTCTCTTGGTCATAGCAGTGAACGTTGGGCCAGTGGCACAAGCATGGATCTGGTGGGTGGTGCACACTGAGTTCAGGGCCGGGGTAGGGTGTGGGCGCCCTTGGAGAGCCGTTCCTTCCTAAGTCAATGGCCAGGCCGGCCAGGCGTTAACCATAAGTGCCGTAGTTGGAATTGGAAAGTGTTCCCAGGAAAGCGGCTGTTTCTGCCAGGACACTGTGTCTGGTCACATCCTAGGGTCAAAGCACGGGAGAACCCCAGGAGCCACGTGGCCACAGGGTCTCTGTGGGCTGAGGGCCAGCAAAATCCCCTCCACTGCCTTTAGCCCTGGAGCAGGTTAAACTCCTGGCAGTGTTCCCAGATTCGCCTTGAATTTGATAGGCAGGAACCCCGTAGGTTTAGGATAAAAAACGCAAATCAGATCTCACACAGCATCACCCAGGAGCAGCCCAGAAGTCTGACAAGGTGGGAAGGCAGCAGTGATTGCCAAATGAAGGCTTTAACTCTCCCTCTACTGATCATTCTGGTTTTTTGGTTTTTTTTTTCCTCTCTCTCTCCCTCCCTACCCACCCCTCTCTGTACATATTTTTAAAAGACTCCACGAAAGTTGATATTCAACAGATTGTTATACCAGGTTAGAGGATTCCAGGGTCTCCTGCTGAAACTCCTAACACAGACTGAGCCTCTGAGGCAGAGGCAGGTGCCCCTGCTGCTTCACTAAGCAACATTCGGCCGCTCACCAGGACGGTCCCAGAAGCGTGGGTGACACTAACACAGCAGTCAGCGTCTTTCATGGATTTTGCCTAGTAAGTCCTGCAAGGTGCCTCTAGTTCCACAGCTAATTGTATGTCCTCTTTCTCCAGCATGAGTTCACTCTTTATGTATTTGCCTTTATAAAAAATGAAATTTTAGACACAAAGGAGGTTCCAGTTCCAAAGGGAGGATGTTTTCTTTTGTCCACACCCAACCTCAACCAGAACAGGGGGAGTTCGTCCCGCGCCACTGCTGCCCGCTGAGGCCCTCTCTGGGTTTCCTCCTCTTTCTTCCCTTTCCTTATGGCTTCGAAGTGAACACACATGCCCTGTGTTATAGAGCTGCATTGATCCGCCACCTATCAATTGTGTGGGACTTAAATAAAGAAAAAGTAATTGTTCCTCAGCTTTCCAGCTATTGGAAGGAGAGAAATATGAGCACTCTTATTGTGGTGCAGCGGTGGCCAAGGTAGCGATTTTACACGTGGGGACACAGAGGCAGACTCTAGTCGCAGAACAATAAAACGCCCAAGGTTTGCACCCAAACAGTGAGAGCAGGCTCTGCCGTGCTTAGCAATCCACACACACACTGTGTCGGCCGGCTGCCTGACGCCAGCGTGTGTGTGTGTATGTGTTTGCAGAGGTGTATTGTCTTTAGTTCTTAATAATTTGGGAAACAATGTGTTCTTTTGTCAGGTAACTTGACATGCAAATAAAATAATGAGGTGGCTCAAACTCAGTCCTTTGCAAAGCAACTTCGGGAGCTGCAGTGCGGGGTGAAGCCTGGAACATTGTGGACACTCAACACATTCTGGCCGAATGTTCACCCTTCCTGAGTCCCTTTGAGGCTTGCTGGCAAGTGGAGCCCAGTCTGAAGGGTTCCTGGGTGACAGCAGCATCCCTTAGCTGAGTCACAAAATTAATTTTCCAACTAGGATCCTGAAGGGAGCACGAGCTGGCTTCTCCTTCCGTTTTGTCTTCCTCTAACCACGCTTTCACCTCTGGACCACATTGATCCGGGCCACGCTGATCTGCGCGGACTTTGTGGTCTTGGCTAGAGGGGTGATTTTTCTGTTTTCCTCTGTCTTTTTCATCAAATCATTCTGTGCCTCTGCCTTGCAAGCTGAAGTGTGTGAGACGGTAGTCGCAGGTGTATTTGGCTTTTTGATGGCGTTGCTCATGGGGAGGTGATAGGCTGCACTAAAAACTGGGCAGAATCTCGGTAACAAAATATGAAAGTCTGGTTCTTCAGTCTGTTTCCACAGACTAAAATTCCAGTGTGGAGCCGTCTCTTCCCGCAGATAGCTGAGCCCTTCCTCTTTGCTAGGGCAGCTCCCAGGTAAGGAAGGGACCTTCGTTCACTCTTGTGGCGGTGAGTTGGTGCAGACATCTGGGTGCAGCAGGGTTCGGGAGTTGGGAGGCATGTTCCTTGGACTTGTAAACAAAGGCAAGGGAGAGAGGCACATTAAGCCCGCAGGGCCATGCAGCTGGGTGCAGACACTGTGGGGCGAGTGGGGTGCTGAGGGAAGCTTCCGGAACAGGGGTGATAGCAAAAGGAGATACTTGCAGCTAAAAAGGAGCACCTTGCAACCTCTATGCTGTTGTGCATTCCATCCCCAAACAACCACTGAAGAGACAAATTCCTTTTCCTTCCTGTAGTTACTTGAGTCACCGGGTGGGCTTTCAAAATCTGTGCATTGCACTTCAGCAGAAAATAGTGGTGTAATCAGAGTTAGAATTTGAGCTAGAAAAATCCTTCGATTGAGGTCATAGTTATAAATGTCTTTTTGGGATAGCTGGAGAAAAATCAAAAAATAATTTTAGGGAAAAAAAAAGTAGATCCAATGTTCTGTCATATTCAGCTATAGCCCACCTCCTCACTCCTTATAGAAACAGGTAGGATTTTTAGAAAAAGTTTGAAAGGAAAACACACATGCACACAAATCCAAAAATTACCAAGGCTTTTCATTCCGTTGTAGGATTATATGTAATTTTTATTTTCTTCATATTTTTATAATTTCCAAAGAAATCTATATTGCTAGTATAATAATTATATTTGAAAGTTAAATATAATTTAAGTTATAGGCTTAAAGTTAAGGCTCAACTTATTCTAAAAAATTTTAAAATAGCACTATTATCATTGGGTGATGATACGGTAGATTGAAGTTATTCAGTATATCTTAGGTTTAGTGACGTGGATAGGTCTTGTATCTCAGGCAATTTCACCAATTGAAGGTATCCTGTATTCACTGACATGAAAAGAAGTATTGAATCCATTAATCGAACAAGTCACTGCCACTTACCAGTGCAACCCAAAAGACGTCATGATAATTATACACCTCAGGCTACTCAAAGGGAATGTTTTGTTTGGAATTTGTAATTCACCCTGAGAATTTCTTACATCATAATCACAGCCATTATGACATTGACCTTCAGTAAACTAGAAAGTGGGAAGTGTTTTGTTTGTAACAGGCTGGAGGACTGTGTCACCGTGAAGGGAGCGTACACTCAACCTCCCTTACCCTGGTCAGAAGAGCTGGTAGTCACTGAGTGCCTGCCATTGCCCCAGCCAATTTTTTCATAATCACTGTTTCTTTATATTACTTTTAGTATTGCCATTTTACAGATGAGGAGATGAAGCTCAAAACAAATTAAGCAAATCACTCAGTCATGCATCTAAAATGTGACGCTTAGCCCCATGTCTTTCAAAAAAGTAAGATGCTCTTTGAATTTTCTTACTTAAATGCCAGTTCCACATCTTACACCTTCTACACCACTTTAAGCCAGCACTTTCTAAATCAAAGTCTCAGAAAATAAGAGCTATTGGGAATGATGGTTATCCTTTATAATCTACTAAAAGTTAAAGTCATTATCTTGTTATTACTGCAGGATTTATTGAGCCTCTATGTGTTGGTGCACACTGAGCCTGTCCCTGAGCTGCGGATGCAATAAGGAACCTATTTCATCCCACACTAAGCGGGCAGCAGGGATCTTGGAGGTGGGAGCAGGTGCAGGGGCCACAGCTAAGGAGGGCTGACTGTGCTTGTGGCCATGGGTTGTCACCACTACTTGAGGGCTGGTGTGCTGGGTGCGCCTGCTGACCTGCAGCCCTGGCAACATCTGGGAGCTTCCTATGGCACTCGGCTTTGTGGAGTCCAGTGTCAGGAGCACTGTTCGTGAGTCCAGAGATGCCGCACACACTACCATGCTGGCCGGTCACGCGGAGGCTCACTCCAGGGCTGTGGTTCTCTTCACGTGGCCTAACTTCTAGGTCCTTTCCTTGTTCAGCGCAGTGGCTGTTCCTCCTGCCACCTGCCCCGGAGCTGGCAGGGAGGAGAAAGCCCCAGGCTGCAGTGGAGAGACCCAGGCGGGGTCGCCCCATTGGCCGCTGGGTCTTGGGAAGGTCATGCCACCTCCGTGGGTGTATGTTGAGAGGACAGAACTCGGTAGAGAAAACGTCAAGGCCACGGAAGTGCTTTGTTCCTGCATATGTGTGTTGATTCACATGTATATGAACACACACACGTTGTGTAGTGTGTAAATGTGTGAAATATGTAGCATGTGACTGTACCATGTGTTTACACAGGTGCTTGCATGGATGCAGGCGTCACTGTGGCAGCCGCTGCCCGAGTCCCTGTGCCACATCTTCCTTGTGTTATTAGGGGTTGTGGGCTCATGGCTGCAGGCTCCTTCTGGTTTGTTTTTCACAGCGTGAGAGCACCCGGCTGGGCCTGGGGAAGTGCAGCCACACTCAGTGTGGTCAGTGACAGGGACCCTGACTCCTCCCCAACCCCCTGCTCCCTGCCTCACTCTGCTTCCCCACCTAGGCCTGGGGCATGGCCTCCTCCAGCCTTCCTGCAACCACCCTCACCTGCCTTCTCACTGTGGCCGGATTTTACTCCTTCAGCTTCACTGAGCTGCCTTGTGAGGAGAGAATTGCGGGTCCCATGCTGTTAGACCTGATCCCCGCATTCCAGCACCTCCTCCGGGCTTGCCGTTCTCGACACCTTCCTTTAGGGAGCACCCGGCTCCTCGGCCACACTGGGGCAGAACCTCCCACTCTTCCTCCCACCTCACAGTCTTCCTTTTCAGGCACCTCCTGGTGTCCTTCCCTCTGCCCATCACTAAAATGTCCCTGGCCTTCAATGACCCTGACCACACCGCGGCGTGCAGTGCCAGGGCTCTTCCCAGCTCTGAGCTGGGGCTCAGCCTCATTTCTCTCACCCTCCCACTCATGGCCTCCCCGGTGGGAGTGGAGTCCCAGCACCACATGGTCCTCAGAGCAGAGAGCGATGCAAGGCACAGGGCACTCAGAAGCCCCACACATGGCAATTCCTCACGCTCACAACTCCCCAAACACTTCACATTCTTTCTAGCTGAACAACAAGAGCCCTAACAGAAGTTGCTTTACAGCAGGCCATGGACAGTGTTGTGTCGGCCACACAATTCAGCATTTGGTGGCGGACATGGGCAAGGCTGGTCATGCTGTCATGGATCTGAAAACAATCTTTAAAGGACTGCTGGGTGTTCCTCTTTCTCGAGGTACACGGACAGGCACAGCTCTGGATTTGCTGGGATTGTTTGCACTTGGTTATTATCATGGGACCCTTGGGACTTGATTTGTAACAGCGAACTAACAAGGTCATCGCCGTTCATCTGTGTGGTGCCCCACTGCTTATAAAATGCCTTTTCTCAATGCTCTTATCTGTACAGGGAGGAGGTAAAGAAATTGACAGCTCTTTCTTAATTAACTTTCGGTGTCCAAGGTTGTTCCCCCAAGGAAATCCAGGTTTCCCTTCTTTGCTCCTGTTTTTCCTTTGCTTTTCGTTGGTAAATCCTTATAGAATACTCACTATGTTCTGAGCACCTTACAGCGCGACCTTGTTTGACCCTCACAACCGGAGGAAGTATTCACTCTCATTACTGCTGTCTCCCATTCTACAGATGAGAGCATGGAGGCAATTAAGTTGTACCAGGTGACACAGCCAAGTGGTGGAGTCATGGATTTGAACTGAGCCATGTGGCTTTAGGGTCTTAACTGCGATTCTATGATGTAGACATTTACTGAAATGAAAGATAATTTACTCTTGCAATTTATTTTGTGGAAATCACATTTTTCCATTTTCTTAATGTAACCCTTTAATGACTCCAAAAGAGTTTAAAATTATTCTTAGCCTTGCTTTTTCCATGCTAAGCGAATGCCATGTCACAGGCTTCAGCTGAGCCTGGAAACCAGCACCTGTAAGGCGGGAAATGTGTTTCCTTCCATGATCCTGATACTGCTGCTGGGACTTCTCTGTTACTGGGTCCCAAATATTTTTAGTTTAAGACTCTGTTTGAAATGTAATAACAATAAATCACAGACCCCACCTTACAGTAGCTATATTTTTGCTATCCATGCATTGAGGAGAGCCGCCGAACCCATCAATGGCTTCCAGAGAAAACTGGACTTTATTCATGCTTGCAGCTGTTATCACAGAAGCATGTGAAACCGTTTCTTTGACCTACGGAAAGTCACTTGTGTACCTGTGTTTCCACCTGCGCTCTGCAGCAGCCTTGGTGCCCACAGGCCTCCAATCTGGTGGTGCAAGGCTCAGGGTCATGGCTTGCTCCCCTTTCCATGTTGACTCCTGAAAGTCGGGGCAGGAGTGAAGGTCGTTTGTAGGGAAAAGAAAGAGATCAGCCTCTTACTGTGTCTATATAGAAAGAAGTAGACATAAGAGACTCCATTTTGTTCTGTATTTGAGATGCTGTTAATCTGTGACCCTACCCCCAACCTTATCCTTGCAAGAGACATGTGCTGTGGTGACTCAAGGTTTAATGGATTTTGGGCTGTGCAGGGTGTGTCTTTGTTAAACAAGTGCCTGAAGGCAGCTTGCTGGTTAAAAATCCTGCCCGTCCCTGGGCAATGGAACATCTCGGTGTGAGACCCGATTGTCTGCTCTGTTTACTGAGATAGGAGAAAACCGCCTTACGGCATAAGGTGGGACTTGCTGGCGGGACTTGCTGACGCAATGCTGCTAAAAGGTTTGTGGAGATGTTTGCATATGCGTATCAAGGCACAGCATTTTCTTTTGAACTTATTCATGTCACAGAGATCTTTATCCATATGTCTTACTACTAATTTTCTCCCTAAAATGATCCTATTGTCCTGCCACTCCCTTATCTTTAAGATGGTAAAGATAATTATCAATAAATACTAAGGGAACTCAGAGACCGGTGCCAGCGTGGGTCCTCTGTAAGCTGAGCGCCGGTCCCCTGGGCCCGCTTTTTCTTTCTCTGTACTTTGTCTCTGTGTCTCATTTCTTTTCTCAAGTCTCTCGTTCCACCTAATGAGAAACACCCACAGGTGTGGAGGGGCAGGCCACCCCTTCAGTCGTTTCCTGGGAGTGGACCAGATGAGGAGGTGCTATTCCTTCTCCATGGAGCTGTTGATTTATTTACCTGTGAACTGGGAGCAAACAGGACTTTCACGTGAGGCTGAGTGAGTCTCTCAGGGACCACGGTGCACAGCAGGGTGTAACCCTGGTGCCGGCTTACAGCCCGGTGCGAGATCCTGAGTGATTTGAGATCAGCTCCATAAGGGAAAATGAGGCCAGTTTCCCAAGATACTTTCACTTAAGAACGTGACTTTACACACTCCATGTGCCAGGGACCACGCCAGGTGCTGTGGGGGAATTTGAACTTCATGTTCCCTCCTCCCTTTAACATGCACACACACACATGCGCATAGACATACAAACATACGCACACTGCATGCAGACACACATGTGTACCAATTACCTTAGACATACAAACATACGTGCACACTGCATGCACACACACATGCATACCGATTGCCTTAGACATACAAACACACACACACACACTGCATGTACAGACACATGCATACCGATTGCCTTAGACTTACAAACATACACGCACACTGCATGCACACACACATGCATACCGATTACCTTAGACTTGCAAACACACGCACACTGCATGCACACACACATGCATACCGATTACCTTAGACATACAAACACATACACGCACACTGCATGCACACACACATGCATACCGATTACCTTAGACTTACAAACATACACGCACACTGCATGCACACACACATGCATACCGATTACCTTAGACTTACAAACATACACGCACACTGCATGCACACACACATGCATACCGATTACCTTAGACTTACAAACATACACGCACACTGCATGCACACACACATGCATACCGATTGCCTTGAACAGTGCTAAGGTTGAGCCAACATGGCTAAGTGGTAAAGAGCGGCCACGATTTGGTTTTGTGTCTGAGGGAGAATGTGGTAAAACATGAGGAGACTGAGGGAGGGGTGGACACGGGGACACCAC